GAGCGAGAGGATAAAGGAAGGAATCAATGCCCAGGCAGAGGCATCCTTTCCCCGGTATTACAAACTAAAAGAGCTCGGGCATCGAGCAGCGAGAGACTGAGTGCCGTTTCCAAGAGATCATGTAGCAGCAGCCTGGATCGAATAGCAGCCTGCTGGCTTTGAAGGAGTAAGGGGAGGAGAGATAGCGAGAGAGAGCTGGGTGAGCAAGAGGGAGGGGAGATTAGCAGACAGAGGTAAATAGAAACCAGCGAACCAGAGACTGGGAAAGGCCAGGAGCAGAGAGGAGAGGGGAGGGGTGAGGAGGTGAGTGGTGTGTGTGGGGGGGAGTTATTAGGATGGAGAGTCTGTTTGCGGTTTTAACCTGGAGTCTATCTTGAAGGATTAATTAGGGAGGACGCCTGGATCTTTGACACAAAAGGATACCCCAGGAGGCTCCGACGTTGAAAGGCGAGCTCAGTGAAAGAGCTGAAGGCTGCCATCTACCACTCGTCTGCTCCCTGGCTCCAAACTCTGAGGCTTGCTGGCTCGCTGGCAACTGCAAATGAAATCTGAGGCGCTCGTCGGCTGGTGTCATGAGGCTTGCAAAAACCTAGAACCAAAAAAAAAAGTAACGACATTGGTTAAGGTGCTGGGCAGCATTGTATTATTTCTTCCCTCTCTGTGATACGCAGACAAAGCCGGGCTGCAAAAACACCGTCAAGCTCTGTTGCCATGGTGAACAGCACTAAACATCGACAATGGAAGAGACTAGATGCAGTTCATATTGCTGTAAATATCACAGAGTGGCAGTCGATTGGATACACATATCTGATAACTAAGCAATTTGTTTTCTGTCTCCTGAGTTCTTCAAAGGCCTGAATGTGCAATTTTAGTGTTGAATGTTTTCCCCAGAACATGATAGTTTCATGTGATGTCACTTCTGAATAAGAATGTTATCAGTGTTTATCCAGTGCAGTTATCCTCTGTTACTTTCATTCACTAGTTGTGCCTTCTTAGGAGAATGATCTACCTTGCCTTTTTGAAAAATTGCATCTCTTTGATAAGGCCATTTTCACACTTAGATTCTTTTGTTGTCAACAACAGAAAAACATTTTACTACCTCAACAGCTTAAGGAATTAATGCATCAATTCTTGAACACCCTCAGTTTTTTAGTAGATTTTTTTTAGCACAAAGAAATGCTTAACAGCTATTACCACTTACCTGACAATACAGTTATGAATTTTAAATAGCCACATTACAAGTCTAGTTCTAATTGCTGCTAAAAATACCTTCTTAAAGTTTAAATACAGAAAAGGCTAATGATGCAAAGCAAAAAATAATTTGCATACGCGCTTCATTAATAGCTCGGAAATGTTTTCTTAATGTGGCACAACTAAGAGACTAGATTATCACATGCCCAAGAAATATAAAAGCAAATCAAATCACGAAGTACCCTGAACTGATGTGTAGCACCAACACCATTCATGAGAGAATGGAATCACATTTTAATTTGATTTTATGTTAGAACAAATGCACACTTGAGAATTTCATTCTGTAAGGATCTGGATGTTCCTGTTTGTTGCATGTCATGAAGTAATAATTCATTTTGTTTTCAGTCTATTATGATTAATGCAATACACAGCAAGATGCTCAGGGCTTTTCTGCTTACACCATTGCATTTGTACCGGGACTCTCACAGATCTCCCAGATTCACCCTGTGAACTAATGAGCAGGTCCCTAGGAATGGACAAGACACAGCTGTGACCTTTTAAAAAAAAAACACCACATAACTGACGTCAGAGCAGTTAGTCAGCTTTCTTATACAATTGTGATCTTGAATATATCCCACTGCTATTGACAATTGCTCTCTGAAGGAAGAAGCACACAGTAGCATCTTAATACGTCTCAGTATCTTGAGATTTCTTATCTTGGTTATTTGTCAAATCAGATTTAAAGCAAACAAAACTGTTATTATGTACTACAATACTTAGACATGCCTTAGTATAGTTTTCTTTAGAAAAAAATCTTGATTATTTCCTTCAAGGTGAATTCTTTCTCATTCTCCTACAAACTGCTGCAGATGCTTTTGAATGGTTCAATGGCTCCATCACACCTCTCAGTTAGTAAAGTACCTAGTTTCTAATCCTATTTATTAGAGTTATAAACCCCTCAGGTAAGTACATCTAATAAAAGCTATCATGTTTACTCAAAGTGAAACACAGCAATCTTTGAAAAATGAAATTAGGTTTTAACTTATTATAGCCAGAAGAAACCCCCAGGAAGTATCTTTTTACTAATGTATAACTAAAATGAATTCACAGCTGTCACTGATTATTTTTTTTAACCAATCCTAGATTAATTATTGCCTGATAGTTACAATGTGAATTGGACAATAGAATCGAAAAACATGGAATTTGTTCAATTCTATCAAAATATATCAAATGATAAGGTCTTTGGTATTTATATATAAGGTATATTTCATATAATTATTAATTGCATAAATGAAAACAAACACTGAAATTTAATTTAAATCTCAGGCATAGCCATACTATAAAAGTTATTTTATTATTATAAGTTACTATCATTTATAGCTCACAATATTAATTAATAGGGGGAAAACAAATTATTTTAGATGGTGTCTATCTATTTTAATTGTATGGATTTAAGAAAACAACACTCACAAAGTAGTTTGCTAATAATGGAATCTGCACCTGTGAATTCTACTATGCACCTGCACACATAATTAGAGGAGGATATCTCAGGCTGCAGCTCATAGGAGAGCTACAAATGTGCTGCAGATAATTAACACAAAGACTGAAAAGGATTTTTAAAAAGAGTTGTTTAACATACATTCATCTGCTGTGTTTACACAAAAATATACTTTCTGCAGGGTTTTTTTCTTCAAACCTTTTTTTTACATGAAAGCCATTGAGACAGTGAGCTGAAGGAGTCAATGTTGGCATGTATCATACACCGAACCGAAAGCTCAAGGCAAAAAGACTTGGACAAGCAAGCAGTCACTGTACAGCTGTCGTCCTAGTTCATAGGTTGTAATTTCACTGCCCAGCAGATACTTCTTCCACATTTGCAGACAGTCAGCCTAACGATTTTTATCAATGTATCAAATATTTCAGCTGAGGGATGGCACATCATTACAGCCTCACATTGTTGGGGCCCTGAGCTCAACTTTGTGTGGTCTCCCTGTGTTCATGTGGGTTTCCTCCAGGTACTGGACTGGCGTCATATCCAGAGTGTCTCCTGCCTTGAGCCCATTGCTTGCCAAGATAGGCTCTGGCTCCCCCACTACTCTTATTTGGACCTAGCGGTTAGAAAATGGATGGATTATTGAATATTTCAGTTGATTACATTTTTTTCCTCCTTGTCTACCTTTTCACATTAATAAAATTGAAAATACGACTGTCTGAGATAAAGCACTGCGAAATCTTAGTGAGGAGTATTCTCATAAATGTAAAGTAGAAAACCAACTTTCCGTCCGGTAATCCCCAAGTAATAAAAAGTTCACAAATATATTTCCTCACTATATTTAAATCATATGGATCCTAAGAATAGAGATATATTTCATTTCCATGAACTCCTGTGGCCATTTGTGCCTACTGAGTAATTGACAAAAAGCTTTAAACTGAGTTAAGGAGGCCATAGACTTGTGTGAAAAAAGAAAGATTACAGCATTTCAATCTACCTGGAATATTATATCCAGGACAGTCCTAATGGCTTCAAAATCACAAAACACTACACACCAGGAATACGTACAGTACATTTAATTCCCTTTTGTAGATTCCATATAGTATTTAAACATTTTTGTAACCTGACTTCCTTTTAGAGAATGGCATAGATACCATGTTATTTTAAAACAGAAATAAGTCTCATGTCCCCTCTTTTCTTGAGCTCAAAGACAGAAATGGAGTTCCTTCAGTTGAACGGATTGAGTTGCAGATGAGACTGTGGCACTTCTCACATGCTACTCAGCCAATTAGTCTAACTCAGACAAACAAACACACAGAGCAATGTAAGTGATCCTTCATGCACAGGCTCACAACATTGAAACCTCAGTTACAATCACAACCAATGTAGCGAGAGAGTCATCTCAGTGACAGAGCTGACTGTTGTAAAGGAACCAGATAAATAGGTCAATTTTAAGACAGATTACCCACCTACATGTGTTTATATATACCATGGTTTTAAATATGTACAGTATATGTACATAAATGTTCACATCAAGACCACATTTTAAAAAACATTCCCTATTAATAACAACATCTGGTTCCCAAACTTTGTGGGGGTTTTTTCTTTCTATTGACATTAAGCTCCAATTTTTCCTTTGCAGCCTGTACTCCGACGCAGCCCCTTGCTACAGTAAAACCTGTGATCTCTTATAATTAGTACTGGGCATTAATGGGTAAATGTCTGAAAAGATTCTCCTGTTTTTCACACAGTGGAAAGTGTGACATATGTAACTAAATGGGGCAACTTGGTGATCACATGCACTCCACCTCCTGAATGGCTCAATTCACAGAGAACGCTTTGTCACTTCCTATTCCCCAATCTACACTGTTGTTAATGTCTCTCTGAAAAGGCAAAAAGGTGATGTATTTTTCTTCAAAGTTTTGCTGTATGTAGAAAGGAGATAAAAAAGAAAGAAAATTTTGCTGAAGAATTTACTTGGGAGAAAATAAATTGCCTTCCAATCTCTGCCACGTTTTTTTTTTTTTGCTCGGGTGGTTTTCTAATCCATTTTACTTTTGTTCTAGTTTGCTTGGCAACACTTTACAGAAAAGATCAGTGGAAACAAATTACACCTCCAATGTAAAAACATAGGGAGCTCGTTTTCTCCAAAGGCCCAGGCTTGAAGTTTGTCTCTCCCTGTGACAAATCAGTCAAGACATTTCTGATTTA